ATAGGCACTTGCACGGAGAACCAGTGCCACAAAGTTGGAAAGAAGGATGGATTACATCTATCCATAAAAAAGGAAATAAGGAAGATTGCAATAACTATCGGGGTATAACTGTTACGAGTACGCTTAGCAGATTATATGGGAGAATTATAAAAGAACGCATATGCGAAGAATACCGTCCTTTTGAATCAGAAGAACAAAACGGATTCAGAGCGGGACGATCCACAATAGATAGTATTTTTTGCTTATCCCAAATACTCGAGAAAAGAACACTGAGATCTCGAGAAGTGCATTTACTTTTAGTCGATTTAACAAAAGCATATGACACCGTGCCAGTTGCGAAATTGTGGGAAGTATTGGAGAAAACCGTATCAGCGTTTCACTAATCGACGCTATTAAAGATCTATATAACAACACAATATCAAAAGTTAAAATAGGAAATAAGGTTACTAATGGTTTTCAGGTAACAAAAGGACTGAAGCAAGGTTGTTGTTTATCTCCCATACTATTTAATATATATATATCGACGAAGCACTCAGGCAATGGAAAAAGAAGTGTAAAGGGATGGGGCTGTCTATTGGGGATGAAACGTTATACACGCTGCATTATGCAGATGACCAGGTAGTTATTGCCCAAGACAAGGAAGACCTAGAGTATATGGCTAGAAAACTAATGGAAGAGTACAAAAAATGGGGCCTCGAAGTAAATTTACAAAAAACGCAATATCTTTGCATAGGAGGAGAAAATACTGCAGATGACCTCGACTTAGAAGACGGGAAAATTAAGAAATGCGATCAATGTATATATTTGGGGGTAAAACTAACAAAGACAGGAAGAACTGATGAAGCCATAAAAGACAGAATAACCAAAGGGAAACGAGTTATAGGTGCATTGAATTCAGTACTATGGCAGAAAAATATAAGACCGGAAACGAAAAAAAGAATATATAACACAATATTGAAACCAGTAATCGTGTATGGCGCAGAAGTATGGCAGTTATCACAAAAACTTAAAGGTAACCTCTTGGCAGTTGAAATGGATTTTTGGAGGAGAGCAGCGGGAAAGTCTCGATTAGAACATGTGAGAAATGAGGACATAAGAAATCAAATGAATGTACAAAGATCAATTATAGAAGACATCGAAAAACAACAACTGACATGGTACGGACATGTTAGACGTATGGGGGAAGAAAGACTACCAAAAAAAATATTAGAGTGGGTACCACCAGAGAAAAGAAAACGAGGACGACCACCAACAACATGGATGCAAGGAATTTCAAAAGCCATGTCAGCAAGAAATCTATTTGAAGAAGACTGGCAGAATAGACAGGCTTGGCGAACGGGAACCCAAAGGCGGATTACGCTATAAACGGGATATATATATATAGTAATGTCTAACTTCATCTATCTCTATTATGTCACCTGTTATGACTAATTGAGAAGCTTACCTTTGTTTATTTCCTTTCTCCAAAGTTCACTATTATAAGTATGACAGTCCAAAAGATAAGAGAAGCAGCAGACTTTTGGCTAGCACTGTATATATAGCATTTTTCATACAAAAATGCTTGCACATCATTCAAGATTTATGACGTCAGAACCCCACAGCTTTGCCAAAACATCAGAATAGCTAGTAAGTGAGAAATTTTTAAAATGTCAACTAATTGTCAAAATATTATACCTATTAACAGTAAATACACTTAGTTTTAAGACTACTGCAACACACTAAAAACATAAGAAATCATTTTAATACAACATTATATATTCTAACTTTTAAACTAACCTCGTTTAGGGCTTTAATAGTAAAATCGTTCCGCCATTGTTTCTTGTTCAAAATAATCTATCTTATATGAAAGCTTATCAGCTTTCTACAGACTATTTATTTGTTTTGGCATAGCACAATCACAATACACAACAATAATTAGTGTTTAAAGCTGTTAATCTATATTTAATATGTATTTATAAATTAATACAATTTATTAATATATATTATATTATGATCAAATTGTGTAAGAAATCAAAACATAAACAAAATTCTTACTCTAAAAAAGCGGCAACACTTTATACACTTTTGCCACACGCTGAACTGTCAATAAAATTTGTTATTGACATAATAACATTGACTGCTACATGTCTTTTTAAGGTAACAATTAACATCGTTTCCATGATTGTGTGGTTCTCATATTGTACTTTTTTAGATGAACTGATGATGCTTTCAAAACTCGAAAGCGAAACGTCTTCAAAATAGATAAAGTAGCCTATCAACTTTGTCTTTTATTTCTCCACCTAGAGACCAATATAAGAACCCACCACTCATCTGAGTGATCCTTATATATATATATATATATATATATATATATATATATATATATATATATATATATATATATATATATATATATATATATATATAGAATTCAAAAATAATGAGAATTATATAAGGTGGTCCAAAAAGAGTGGTATATCAAAGTTATATTTTTTCTTATCAACTCCCTATATTTGATGACTTTTTGAATTGTCCTTAAAAAATAAACTATACTTTTAAGGGTTCCCTACATCTAAACACAGAGTGTTATGATTTGTTTCATTTTTTCTAAAAATATAAGCATTTAGAAAAAATTAAATATCTATGAATCAGGGATACATTTCTTCTTGATTTGATTTGATTAGCCCACAGAACAAAATATTGGGTTGGCAGTGTTGCCATGTCCTTATAATGTATAAGTCATATATATAAGTCATATATAGAGGTGTGCTTATTAGTTCTTTTAGATGACCTAGTTCAACAGAACTATTTCACAAAAATGAACTAGTTCAGTGAGCTAGTTTGCGAAAGAACTATTTGTAGGACCGACATTGAAATCCAACCATAACAGAACTGGTTGCCAGATGTCTTGTCTCAATCATCACACAAGCTCGGCGCTGGCCGCCCGTTTACTTCGGTTTTCAGTCAGTCTTTCACTAGTTCACTACCGTACAAGTAGTTCAGAAGTATTTCTTTCAATCGTACATTTAAGTTTAAATGGTTTAAATTATTATATGATTAGTTAGTTTTTATTTGCAAAAAATTATTAAGATTTGTTTTTTATTAACCATTTTAAATATAAATATGGTTCAAGTATGATTTATGTTTATATTTACGTATATTTAAACTAATAGGTATTTATAATTAGGTTATTTCTAAAAGAACCTTTACAAAAAAATCAGTGAATTTTCTAGGAACATTAAATAACACATTTTCATTCTCACTTTTACATAAAATTATATTTTATGTAAATGCCTCAATCATTTTAACCACAACTAAATTTTTTATTTCAAAATTACAATACAAGAAACAACACAGCATGGCAACATCCAAGCCAATAAATGGGCATAAGATCCAAACCATTATGACATTAAGATAAGACCTTATGGTATTGTCATATTCATAAGAATTATGAATCTGTTATCTGAGGTTAATCAGCATTTTTTTTAAACTAGTTAGTCCATCCATTCACAAAATAATAAATATATGTTCTAATTCATTCATTCATTATTTTCTTCTTTAGAAGTCGAGACATAATTTATAATGCAAAATGTTCGCAGTGAACTAGTTCTATGAAAATTAATGAACTAGTTCAATTAGTTCAGTTGAAAGAATCATTCATTAGAACTATTTCGATGGTGAACTACACATCCCTAATGTCATATGCTTCAAATAAAAGAGATAAAGCTTATAAAATGTACATTTTTATTATATTATTTTAAGGATTTTGCAATTTTATAACTTATATAAAACATTAATGAATTAATATTTGTTTCGTTTGATATTAATTGCAATTAATTATTAGAAAATTTTTTTGGCAATTGCCCTTTGATAAATTAGTGGATAGATTTGGCAATAGAATTTGGCAGTTAGAACACTCAAACCACCAGTTGCCAGATGTCTTTTTAACTTTATTATTTATACTTATATTTTACTATTTACTTTTAAAAACTGTTTTAAAACTATTTACTTTTTTTACAACACTGCCAAATAATAATATTTCGTTCTGACAAACTCATTTGAGGCAATCTTCACTGGGACCAAATGTGAAAAATGTCAGACCATTTGTACTATTTAAGCAGACATTTATTATTTTTTACAGGTTGGTAAAAATATTAGATCGTTCTATTAGTACATTCAAGCTGTATTACATACTTATTTTAAATGGAACTCCCTGTATGTTATTAGTCTATCATGTGCAAATTTATTTGGCTTTCAAACCATGTATATTGGTGTTTTCTATACCTATATGTTTAGTTTGAAAGTTATTTGCCTGATATTTTTAATATTTCACTTTGTTAATTTTTAAAGTGAATTAATTAATAAATAAATTACCAATGATATAAATATTTTAACTGAAAGCAGTAACAAGTAATATTCAATAATCTAATAACAATTAGTAATTGCAACAAGTAATTTTACAAATTTGTTTGTAACTTCATAAGGAAAACAAACACTCACATGACGAACATCAATAACTGAGGTTATGTTTTAAATTTTGTGGTTTTTACTGGAATCAGAATTTCAAACTAAAACTCGAGAGTGCCTCAGAAGTTATCAGAGTAAGTGGTTTTCTGATCTCCTGGCAATTTTAATTTTTAAAAGTGTGAGCAAAATGCAGGTATAACAACAAAGCTGTGTTATATTACACATCTTTGTAACAATCAACTTTCAAGTCTCTTCTGTTCAGTATATCAGAACAGAACGAGATCTCTGACTCCCATGTAGAGGATTGGTTTTAAACCAATCAAAGTTTATTCAGATAAATCAAGTAAATGATACATCCTGTATATTTATCTATTATAAGTATCTATTCTATATCTATATCATAAATCTTTATTTATGAATGGTAATCTGTTGGTGCTCAGCAAACCAATGAATATACTAAAATAACCTTTAAGAAAACATCAAACAATTTCATATTTAATGAAAAACCCAAACCAAACCAAATAAACCAAACAATTAGATTATGTAAGACTAACCTGTATAGTATTTTCTCTTTTGTGGGTAAAGCTTTTAAATGTGGTCGGTTATATAAATATAGACCAGAACCTAAAAGTGTTTGTCCCAATAGTATATTAGTAACATCTCTTTTTGAAAATATTCTGAAACACAAATTTTAATATTTTCAGATTTTAACACACAACCAATTCTTACCTGAAAACCAAGGATGGGTTCATTACATTTATTGAAAGTGCAGTGTAACTTATTACCCCCTGGGCGGGTAAATAATAATATAAAATATTTCGGCAATTTAAGGGTCTAATACCAAACCTTTCGCATAAGGAAACGGTACTTCCAGAAGGTGAAGAAGACATTTTTAAAAATGATTGACGATTTTTGGTATAGTTTCACGGGAATTTTGGATAATATCCAAAAATATCATACAAACTATGAATGATACTGTGAAGATTGCCGGAGCGGAGATATTTTTGTCTTTCCAAGAAATATTTGACATTACTTTCTACTTTTACATTAGTTTCTTCTTTTTCTCTTTTTGGTGTTGAACAGTTGTTGAAGTACGTTCATCCGCGTTAAATAAACACTGATTAAAAAGATTATCAAAGACATTATTTCAATTTCTATTTAGAAGAAGAAAGAGGTTATGATTTTCAAAAACTCAGAGATATGTGAGATATCACTCACTGCAAAAACTTAAACTAAATTACATTTGACTACATTGTATCTTGTGAATCTTGTATTGTGTTATTTATATTATACATAAAAATGAGTATTATAAAAATTTCAACTATATTTAACTTGATGTTTAAAACAACCAAATATCAGCCAACATTACTTACTAGACCATGTTCAACAAATGTTAAATCAGAAACCCCAGTTACAAGTACATCAGGGGGTTATGCCCAAGCTTTCCAGAAATTTGAAACTATTAAAAATCCTGAAGATAAAACACCACAAACATTTGCTTCTTTATTAAGAAATTCAAGACTTATTGATGTAAGTTTAAAATAAATAATGTTATGCCTTTTATACATTAAGGTATATGTATTTTGGTTATCAGTATTATATTTTTTATTAAATATTCGACTAGTTCTTTATGAAATCGTGTCATTGTCGGTCTGTTATATGATAACTCTTGAAAGAAACATTCTAGAATCAAAACTGTGTAATTAGGCTCCTCTTGATGGAAACAAAAACACTGTTGAATCTGTGGTCTCATATTCTTTCGACTTTTATTTTTTTTACCAGAAATTTATATATGCCTTTTCATTGAGGAAAAAGTACTAGTCTTGAAACTTAATAGTATTTCTCTTGAACTAAGAAAGAAGTTAAACTTTTGTGTCAGTAGGTCATCTATTTCTATCTCTTCTACTATTATTTTTTTCTTTAAATAAAAATCTATATCATAAGACCAAAAAGCTAAGTGTCTTGAAGCTTGGTTAAGTTTATTTACAATTATATTTACTAACTTGTGCAAAATTTAAGAGTATAAATAATGTCAATGTTATGAAGGAATTTACCAACTCCAGGTAGCTAGAACAAGAATTGGCATAAGGAATTTCTTTAAGACATTGTCTGCTGTTTTGATCTATGTGACAGAAAAAAAATCTGTACCTACCAATGAGATCTATTTAACCAAGACACTAACAGATGGGATACAATAAATTGTCACATAGATTGAGATAACACCACAGGCACATTAAAATTCTTGGTTAAATATTATCATTAGCATGTAGAGCAACTTTTTTGTCAGTCATATAGACCAAGAGGGCAGACAATGTGTTAAGGAATTAATTATTTATTTAAGGAATTTTACATATACCATTTTTCATATAAAAATGCTTGCATGTCATTCAAGATTTACGATGTCAGAACCCCACAATGTTGCCAAAACAACAGAATAGTTAGTAAGTGAGAAATTTTTAAAATGTCAACAAATGTCAAACTATTATATTAGCAGTAAATACACTTAGTTTTAAGACTACTGCAACTAGTGTTGCCCAAATGCAAGAACAAGACGAGACTTAGACAGTCTTGGTCTTGCACCAATACACCTGGTCTTGGTCTTGGTCTTGCAGCAAGAGTCTTGCAAGTCTTGGAGTTACCCATTAGCCTATTGCTATTTATTAAACGTTACTAGGGGGGTTTGAAGCCACAATCTAAGCGATTCATGCCTATGCTCTAACTAACTCAGCTATCTACCATGCCCCACGGAAGTCAATCAAACATGGTTAAAACACAAAAAAACCAAATTAATGACGTAAACTTGACTGTATTTTAAAGAACATTATCTGTCTAGAAAGGGATTGATGGACCCCCGCCATCACCAAAAACTCATCAAATTTGCTTTTAGGTCTTTTAGATCTATAATTCCAACGCTCACTACTCTGACTAAAACTATTTGAGTCTTTGTCCGTCATGTCAAATTGTAAACTTGTCAAAGATGTTTTAGTGTTATCGAAAAAGTAACTACTACTATAAATGTCTGTGACTAATATTCAATACCCCAAGTATCTAATAACAAACCGAGAATGTTATATTGTTACTTCGTTATTCTAATTATTTCGGTGTTTTGTTTACACGGTAGGCGATATTATTTGTTATTAATCTGTTTCGTTACTTTTGAATATTAGTCACGCTTTTTCAGCAAATTTTTAGTCTTAGGCTGATAAGATTGTTTATTTAGATTCCTCCTAACTAAATTATAATGGAAAAAATTGAATTATTAAGTGGTTGTCCGTAACAATAAGTGTTATATTTTTTATTAGCTAAGGTGACATATTTTTAAAAAACTGCGATACGATATTACTGTCGAAATGCAAGATTATTTTATGATTACAGGGCGGCTATTCTCAAAATCTGGACAATTAATTTCAGAGCGAAGAAGTTGTATGCTGGAAAATAATGTACGAAATATTTTATTTTTACATCACATGTGTTTTTTTAATGAATATTTTGATTCAGTAAGCATATATGGTGATTTAAGCATAACGATACCAATATTCTAATAGACGTATGCCACATTTTTTTTTGATTTAGCGTTTTTAACAAAATTGTTCCAAAAGGTCTTATTCCGTCTAAATCTAACATATCGATACCAATATTCTAATAGGACACATCCCACAAATATGTTAGATTTAGACGGAATAAGACCTATTGGGACAATTTTGTTAAAAACGCTAAATCAAAAAAAAATGTGGCATACGTCCTATTAGAATATTGGTATCGATATACCCAAACTACTACACTCGCTAAAACGACTCTCAGTTCTAAATTCAAGACGCAAAAGTCTTGCAGGCTTAGTCTTGTTCTTGCGTAAATCTTGCACTGTCAGTCTTGGTCTTGCTAAAATTCGGCGGTTTTGGTCTTGGTCTTACGAAAATGCAAGAACAAGACCGAGACCGATTTTGGGCAACACTATCTGCAACACACTAAAATACATAAGAAAACATTTTAATACAAAATTATATATTCTAAATTTTAAACTTATCTCTTTTAGGGCTTTAATAGTAAAAACGTCCCGCCATTATTTCTTTTTATTTATTTATTTATTTATTTATTTATTTATTTATTTATTTATTTATTTATTTATTTATTAGAGGATATACCATTTACATTGGAACAAAATATACCTAATATATAAAATTTTACAAAGTAAGCATAACATTGGAAAATAATTAGTAAAGTTTAACAAAAACTAATAATTAACTTGAATACAAACTAATATTACACAAATAGCAGTCTCTTTATCACATTTTTGTTCTAAAGACTGGAAAAATAAGTCCAGATCACTTTGGTACCTATTATATAGTCTCACCATATGAGTAAGACGCTTGAAGTATTCATAATTAAATTAATGAAATGGTAGATGAAATAATGAAGTATGCCTAGTTCCATGAAGAGTGTTAAGACCTAATCGATTTAAAAGTTCAGGGCAATTTATCAAATTATTAGCAATTTTGTAAAGGAATATTAGGCAAAAATAATCTTTTCGCAGATTCATAGAAACCATTTTCAAGTGATCAGCTATCATACTATAACTGTATGGGACAGAGATGTCATGAAAAGCACTACAGTAATGATAGTGTTTACCAAATGTATGCTGAACACGATCAAGCTTGTCTATAGATGTTTGATAGTAAGGTCCCCATACAACTATTGCATATTCTAGTCTGGAGCGAATGAGACTATTAAAAAGAATTGGTAAAACAAAACATGAAAATTGAGGAGTGTTTTTAGTTATAAACCCTAATTGTTTAAATGCACCTCTAGATGCTTACGAAATGCTAATTTACAATCAAAATAAACACCTAAATCCTTAACACAGTCCTGCCTAGACAGCTGAGTGTTACCAATGCTGTAATCGTAATTTAAAATTATTTGCTTCCTGTGAAAAGTAATAACACAACACTTATCAATGTTCAATTTTAATTCATTTAGTTGACAGACACAATTCTGTCTCCGGCTTCTATATAACATGTAGCTTCTCTTTTTTAAAAAATTTAAAGTGTTTGTTTGTCTTTGTGTATTGCATTGTTATATCCAAATTTACATGTATGACATTCTACTCATGTCGGATAGGTCTCAACTGACGAAATGCCCCTGAAGATGATCTATTGATCGAAAGTACTTGGGCAAGATTTAATTAATTACTGTGTTCGATAGTTGACTTGTATACCATCAAAGTTTAAAGAATTATTAATTCACAATCACATTTAGTCGATATTCAGTATAAAACAAATAAAAGAAAATTCTTCTTCTTCCTTACGATATTTAGTAGACACTATCACAAGCAATTTGCATTTGTTACAGTCTCTCAAGGAACCAGTAGAAAAGTGGGATTCTCTTCTTTCATACATAGTTTTAGAGAAACTAGATTCAGATACTGCCCATAACTGGGAGAAAAATAAAACAAATAATTCTTCTTTTCAAGATTTCATGGCATTTCTTAGTAATAAAGCAAATGTATTGGAAAAGATAGAATAATCTACAAACCCTATGAGACAGTCTAGTTATAAATCACAATATTCTTCTCACTTTTCAAACAAGTCATCCAGAACTCGTTCTTTTGTTACCAATCAATCTGTCACATTCTCATGGGCTTTCTGCAAAGGTAATCACAAAATATATACTTGTGAGGAATTTCTTAAGCTTAATGTTCATTCACGCATAGAGGAAGCCAAAACGCGATCATTGTGTTTAAACTGTTTACATATTGGACATCTGAGTAGCACATGTAAATATGGTAAATGCAGACACTGTAAAAGGAAACATCACTCGACACTACACATAGAAACATCAGAAGTTTCTATTCCTTCAACAAGTCACATTATTCCACAAACCTCTCTTTCAAATTATACTAGCGTGGAAAGCAAAGGAGTTTTACTTTCAACAGTTAAAATTCTAGTTTTTGATCAACACAATAAAGCTCATACTTGCAAAGCCATTCTTGATAGCGCAAGTTAATCTAATTTTGTAAGTTCTAATCTACTAGTAAACTAGGTCTCCCTAAAACTGATACCAATATTTCTGTTATTGGAATTAATCATATATCTTCAAATATCAAATTTCGTGCTAATGTTAAAATTAAATCTCCATTTTCTACATTTGAAACATCTCTAATGTGCTTGATCACAGACAAAATTTGTGATAAAATGCCTAGTCACAAAATAAATACTTCGTCGTTTCAAATACCTTCTAACATTACCTTAAGTGACTCAGAATTCAATATTCCATCGCATATAGATATCTTAATCGGTGCAAGTCATTTCTGGGAACTTCTATGTATAGGTCAAGTCAAGTTAGGTCCGCAAAACCCAATTCTACAAAAAACCAAGCTTGGTTGGATAATCTCGGGTCCTATTCTTCAAATGTCTTCTATCACTACTCAGTGCAATCTTTTGCATGGTGAAATGTGTTCTGATCTTAATCGATTCTGGGAACTAGAAGAATGCAATGCTTCCACTTCCAAACCTCTGTCTCAAGAAGAAAAGGATTACGAATCACACTTCAAAATACTTATCAAAGGCAAGCAGATGGTAGATTTGTTGTATCCTTACCTCTCAAGGACTCTGTTTCCAAACTAGGTGACTCTAAAACAATTGCTACTAAACGCTTTTACACTTTGTTAGTTAGACGATAAGTTAAGACACAACTACACTGAATTCATGTTCGAATATTTGTCAATGGAACACATGACACAATGTGAACCAGCCAATAATATTTCAAATAAAGTAGAATTCTATCTTCCTCATCATGGAGTTATCAAAGAAAGTCTAACGACTCAACTCAGAGTTGTTTTTAATGGCTCTTTTTGCTCATCTTCAGGAATTTCTATCAATGATTTACAGATGGTAGGACCAGTCATACAGGACGATCTCATTTCCATCCTACTACGCTTCAGACAGCATTCATATGTCATTTCTGCAGACATAGCAAAAATGTACAGGCAAATTCTCATAGAGCCTTCTCAAAGATGCTTACAGAAAATAATCTGGAGATCTAATCCAACTCAACTCTTAAATTCTTACGAATTAAATACGGTTACAAATGGAACCGCTTCGGCTAGCTTCTTAGCTACTAGATGCATACGTCAGCTTTCATTAGATTTTGCAACTCAATTTCCAGATGCTTCTCAAATTATTTCCAATGACATGTACGTAGATGACATTCTAACTGGTTCCGAATCAGCAGATGACCTATCAAGGTTATGTACAGAAATTATACATATTTTGAAATCAGGATGCTTTTCCTTGCGTAAGTGGATTTCAAACGATCCTGATATTCTTCAAAGCTTGCATGATTCTATATCTTTACCAGATATTCCATTTTCATTTGGCTCAAATGAAAACACGAAAACTTTAGGCCTTCAGTGGTGCCCTCAATCTGACACACTCTCCTACAAGATTAATTCTCTACCATTGTTAAAGGTTACGAAACTTTCTATCTTATCAAGTATATCCCAGATATTTAATCCATTAGGATTAGTCAGTCCTGTAGTGATAAAAGCCAAAATTCTCTTGCAGCAATTATGGTTACAGAAAATTGATTGGGACCAATCTGTTTCTCCAGATATTTATACTCAGTGGTTAACGTTCTATGATCAATTATTCCATTTAAATGAACTAAAAATTCCTAGGCATGTGAAGCTCAAGGATTCTATTGCGTTAGAAATGCATGCGTTTTCTAATGCTAGTGAATTAGCATATGGCTCTTGTATATATATTCGCAGTATCAATGAACAAGGTAAAATATCAGTAAACCTATTATTTGCCAAATCGAAGTAGCTCCTCTCAAGCGAGTTTCAATACCTCGTCTCGAATTATGTGCAGCTATCATGTTAGCTCAGCTTGTTAACAAAGTAAATAAATCATTGAAACTTCAATTTCGGAACTCATATTATTGGACCGATTCTACTATCGTTCTTGGTTGGATAAGCACTCCATCTCACTTACTCAAAACCTTTGTAGCCAATCGCATCAGTGAAATTCAATCAATGACAACAGTTCGAAATTGGAGACATGTTTCTTCAAGTCAAAATCGAGCTGATTTGCTTTCGCGTGGAATCGCGTTCAGAACATGAAAATTATAAGCATACTTACCAATTGAAAGTTTAACAGTTAAATATATTATATTTATCAAAAAAGATTTAAAAAATCATTTTTATAACCAAAAATCGTTTTTTCAAAATTACTGTTATTTTTAACATATAAACAGTTAGAATAACTTTTAAGCTGCGCTAATGTTGTCTAATTCAGGTGACTTGTTGTTTTTCAGTCTGGTAACTGCTTTCTGCATTTCAGCTACTGAAGGGGGGTTGTTTCTCTGGTATCAGTTTGATCCAGTATAATTCCATCATATAGTGGATCTTCGTTTTTTTCAAACTTTTCTTTGAAGAATTCTGTCCATTTTTGTAGTATTTCACTCTGTTGAGTTACTATATCTCCTTCTTTGTCTCTGCACATTATTGTTCTTGGTGTAAATTATTTTCTGCTTTTGTTAAGTTTTTGTTAGAATTTTCTGGTTTCTGATGGTTTGTTTAGTTCTTCCATTTCTTGGAGTTATTTTTCTATGTGTTTTCTTTTCTTTCTGCGATGCATTTTCTTTTCTTCCCTCGTTAGCATTCTATATTCCTCCTCTGCCTTTCGTGTTCTATGTCGTTGTTGCAGTCATTGATATGCATTATTTTTCTCTTCATCGAACCACTGTCCTTCAGTTGATTTGAGCTTTTTTTTGTAGACCCAGGGTCTCTTTGATCGCGTCTTGTATGATGTTTTTACACACTTCTCATTCTCTGTTTATATCCTCGTGCTTTTGTCTGTTTTCTAGCCCTCCTTTTATATATTCTTTGCATTTTGCTTTTTTGCTGTTGTATGCTAAGTTTTTTATTTCATATATTTCAATTTTGGATCCCTTTTCATTCCCCAATTCATTCACTTACATTGTTGAAAACTTTTTTTGACTTAAGCTGGACTTAAGGGCAGATGGATGGAGCAAAGAAAACACAACCCAGGCTTCAGGGTTATACCTGGTATACAGACAGTCTAAAACTACAGTAAGGTCAGAATAAATGAATATTTAGTAGTGGTGAAAATGTAAACATTTGTATTACGCTAGAAAAATATACATCCATTTAGAGCTTTTAAACTAAAGCAGATCAATATGTGCACATATAGGCAAGTGCATGGACTTAAGGCAGATGGATGGAGCAAAGAAAACACAACCCAGGCTTCAGGGTTATACCTGGTATACAGACAGTCTAAAACTACAGTAAGGTCAGAATAAATGAATATTTAGTAGTGGTGAAAATGTAAACATTTGTATTACGCTAGGAAAATATACATCCATTTAGAGCTTTTAAACTAAAGCAGATCAATATGTGCACATATAGGCAAGTGACTAATAAAAGCTCTTAGAAGATTCAAAGGGGACTCTAGATTAATATGGGAATGTTGAAAAGAAATAGCCTGTAGGAACAAAACAGTGTAATGCTGGTATAGGTTAGAGATCCCAGTGAAATACATGGTAATGAAAGAGCTGATAAAATTGCCAGAAGGGGACCAGCTACACAATACTTCCATAGGAGTGCCAAAAACCACTGTCCTTGTCAAGCTCATGGCAAAATGTATATTGGATGGACATGTGCTAATAGGGCTAAAGCACTGTGGGAAGCAAGCAGGAATCAGCTTAGAATCACAACAGGCTTCCTTACTGGACATGCGCCAATCAAGGGACATTTACATACAATGGGACCATTTCATGGGGACCTAAGCTGCAGACTCTGTAGCAGGGAACCTAAAACAGTTAACCATATCTTGCATGTATGCAAGGCATTAGATCGCAGGATGCAAAGACTTTTTGGGGACTCGCAACTGACTCCAAAAACATATAGATCCATTCACTAGACTTGTACAAACTGGTACGGGGTTACATAATTTTGGAATGGATATCATTCTAGTAACTATGCTCACTTCACTAATTATAGGAACAAACAACCAATACTAAAGGGTGCCTCGTATGGTCCTAGGTATATAACAAATAAATAAGTAGTTTAACTCTAGATAAATATATGCATTAGTAATTAGAGAAACAAAGAAAATATAAGGTTATCGTTAATTTTAAATATATATATATATATATATATATATATATATATATATATATATATATATATATATATATATATATATATATATAATATTTAACGTGATTATTTAAGCCAAAAAACAATTTATAAGTATTTTGTAAATATCGGGTATGTGGTCTATATTAAATAAAAGTCTTTTTTTTTTCTAAAGCTCAATATTTCGCCCTTTATTTAATAGCTTCATCGGGAGTAACTGTAAAAACAGACATTTCAAAAAACTGACGTACACTTAAATTTACAATACTTACAGAAATTAAAAGATTTCACCATAAACAAAATTGACATAATAACATTTTTGCTGATATATCCAATAAAATGAATGTTAAAATATAAATATATTTGAGCACGTTCGTTAACAGTAAATAAGATGGAAACAACTAAAAGTTATTTAAAATGCAAAAAATAACAATGTAAGAAAACATTAGAGGAGTATTATTTCTTTAATTAGTCATAAGACTAGTTAGTATGATTAATCATTAAGGTGAGTGAGTTTTAAATTTTGTTCAATATATTGCAATATATGTTGCTTAATTGCCCCGTGTCTGTTTTATAATTTAAAGTTTGTTTATTTTTGTTGATGTGGTACATGTCCAAAAATAACCTACTTTTGTAATTTTCAATATGTGCCAAAATACGAGCATTGTTGTAGTCTAACAGATGACCGGTGTTTTTATAATGCTCCACTACTGCACAAGTATTTTTTTCTAAGCGGCAATCACTTTTATGCTGTGTGATACGTTGTTTTAGCCACTGCGATGTATGGCCAATGTAGCTTTTTTCACAGCCTAGACACGGTATTTCATATACCACATTACTCCTATATAAGGTTGGTACTGGGTCTTTAATTTTAGAAAAAAGTTGTTTGCTATTTATGGTATTGTATTTAGCTATATTAATATTGGAAACATCTTTAGAAACAACATAGACTGAATGAGTTAGACGTTAAACATACTTTTTGTTACAACAATGTTCTGAATTTGCTAAAGACGTGAATCTTGTTCTTCTATCATCTGTGCACATTGCAGCTCTTCGTTAACTTTGGCTAGTTAGTTTTAATTATTGGCTAGGTAATTATTAGTACTAAGACAAGTACTTATTGGTACTTGAGTAGACTGCAATATTTATGGAAATAAAAATTTATAATTGTATGAAAATTAAAAATTAATATATTTTTAGTTGGGAGATCCAGAAGGCAAAGTAGTAACAGGAAAAATTTTTCACATTGTAGACGATGATTTATATATAGATTTTGGATGGAAATTTCACTGTGTGTGCCCTAGGCCTAAAAAGAATGGCAGGTAAATGTTTTTTAAGCTTTATTAAAATTAATGATTCTCAAGCCACAAGAATTACTTGGTAATTGTATGTATTGTGGTATATTTATATAGTTCTAATTTATTTGTCTTTATTCTAATTTATTGTCTATATTCTAATTTATTAAAACTCACGATCACTAATTACGAATTTATTAAAGTCTTTATTAATCCTAATTACAAATAATTTATTAACGTTTCGTTACATTTAAATATCGCGGTTCGCGAGCTTCTTATAACTGACTGCCAAATAAAAATCTTTCATTTATATACACAACTGTGTCATCTAGAGAATTCGGCGGACTTCCTGAATAGTCTCGTATTTTGGTGAAGGCGCTCGACTCGTTTTTCAACCTCGAGACGTGGATGACTCACTAAAATTAGTGTCTAGAGATTTCTGGTAAACAACTGGTAGCTAAGCTCAGGTATATTTTGACCTACAAATTACGAGAATCAATAAAAAAGAATTAGTCATAAAATATTTACAGTTCTATATGCCATAACATTTAAAATCGTAACATTGCCCCCCTCTTAAAAGATGGTTCCTCCTGGAACCTTGTCGGGACTGGAACTGGAACGACATGCTGATATCGGCAACTGGACCCTCTTTTACAACTTCCAGTTGTATAGAAATGACAAGGGACGGTTTTCTCTCCGCAGCAGTAACTATGCGGATTGCAACAGACTAACACCTGGACTTCGGTGTCTTTAAAGATTTCCTCCACCATGTTTCGTATAACCCTCCAATCTAATTGGCGGCACTCCAACTTTGGCATGGCTAACTTTTGCACGTCGGACTCTAGTACGTGCTCTCTCAACTGAAGTAAGGCTTCCCATACATCTCGGTAGGTAGGTTGGTCACGGGCAGTGTCTTTTGTTACCAGGTAGAAAAGGTAACGTGATGCATCTTGAAGTTTCAAGGTTTTACCAGGAGCTGGCACTTGGCATTGAAGTTCTGCAACTCGACCAAACTTCCTTCGAAAGACGGATGCCAACCCTGGTGCATCTTTGATACTGGCCGGGATGGTAAGGGCCAATGAGTAGTCATCGGGAAGCGCGAGTAGATCTTGCCTTTCTTCAGTGGTAACACCATGTCTTGCTTTACCGGTACCTCCATAGGCACCCATGAATTCCTCAAACGTGAGGTCAGACACATCTTGGACTTGGTTTACTTCCACTTCTTCATCTACGTCGTGGTCACCCTCGAAAGACGCCAACCGGTTATGGTGTACTATCATCGGCTTTCCTCTCGGAATCTTGCTTATTCGGTAAATAACATCATTGATCTTCTCCATAATGAGGTATGGACCTTCCCAAAACTGCTGCAATTTGGGAGAACAACCTTTTCGCTTTTTGGGGTTATAAAGCCAGACTTTATCGTTCTTCTTAAAACACCCCTTTTCGGCTTGTGTATCGTACCGTTTCTTCATTCGGTCACTAGCGATTTGGAGATGGGAACGGACCAACTCGTGTACATCGTCCATTCTTCTTCGTAATTCGATCACATAATCTTCACCTGCTACATCTTCTCCAGGTCGACACCCAAACTCTAGATCACAAGGTAGTCGCATCTCGCGTCCGAATAGGACTCTGGCTGGTGTCTGGCCTGTTGATTCATTAACAGCAGATCTGTAGGCCATTGTGAAGAACGGAAGATATTGGTCCCAGTCTCGCTGATGATCGGATACCATCTTTGTCAAATACTTGCCAACTGTTCTATTCATTCGTTCTACCATACCATCCGATTGCGGATGATAAGCCGTAGTTCTTGTTTTCTTCATACCTAGTCTATCACATATTCCTTGGAATAAATCGCTTTCGAAGTTCCTGCCTTGGTCACTATGGATCTCCAAAGGCACTCCAAATCGGCTGATATATTCTTGGATCAACTTATCTGCAACGGTGGCGGCCTTCTGGTCTGGAAGTGCGTAAATCTCGACCCACTCAGTGAAGTAATCCATTACTACCAACATGTACTTGCCTCCATTATCACTTTCTGGAAATGGCCCAGCAATGTCCAAAGCTATTCTTTCAAACGGGCTTCCAACATTATATTGTCTCATAGGAGCTCTCCTTTTTCGATAAGGCCCGTTACTCGTAGCACAAATAGTACATTTCTTACACCAGTCTTTCACATCGTCGGAACTGTTCATCCAATAAAACCGTTCCCGAATTCGCTGAAGGGTCTTTTTCACACCAAAATGCCCTCCTGATGGACTGTCGTGTAACTGACGAAGTACTTCGGCTATTCTGCTCTTTGGAATTACCAACTGTCTTCTCTTCTCTGAACCGTCATCATTTTCCAGGACTCGTTTGAGCAAGCCATCTTCCATGATAAATGAGTCCCACTGGGCCCAATACGTCTTAACTATTGAGCCTAGGTTCGATATTTCTTGCCAAGGTGGTCGACGGTTTTCTTCTTTCCATTTTCGGATTTTCTGTATAACTGGATCTCTCTCTTGTTCTTCCCTGATCTTGGTAGGCGTCCAGTCGTCGTGGACCACCGTCGTTCTTAGCACTGCTGCTTCCTTGGATTCCGTTTTGTTGCAGTGAGAACACTCTGCTGGGCATGGCCTTCTGGAAAGAGAATCAGCGTTTCGGTGGCTAACTCCGGCCCGGTGCTCAATCTTAAAATCATATTCTTGGAGTCGTTCGATCCACCTGGCTATCTGACCCTCTGGATTCTTAAACTGCATCAACCACTTAAGGGCGGCATGGTCGGTTCGGATTAAAAACTTCCTTCCATAGAGGTATTGATAGAAGTGCTCTACTGATTTCACTACTGCCAGAAGTTCTCTTCTCGTGACGCAATAATTCCGCTCAGGTTTTGAGAGAACTTTACTAAAATATCCAAGGACTCTTTCCTGTCCTCCTTGAATCTGAGACAGCACTCCTCCAATTCCCACATTACTTGCATCTGTATCTAAGATGAACTCTCCTTCTGGCAGTGGATACCCTAAGATTGGTGCTGTGATTAAATGCTTTTTTAAGGTTTCAAAGGCATTCTGGCAGTCTACATCCCAGCGGTATTCTCTTGCTTCCTCTGTAAGTCGCGTTAATGGTTTAGCGATATCTGCAAACTTCTTAATAAACCTCCGGTAGTAAGTACACAGTCCCAGAAAACTTCTCACTTGATGTTTGTCAGTTGGTTTTGGCCATTCCTTAATAGAATCGATTTTTCCCTTATCCACGGCCACTCCTTCTTTACTGACTATATGACCCAGATAATTGACTTTACCTTGAAATAGCTGGCACTTCTTGGGGTTTAACATCAATTGGGCAGCTTTAAGTCGATTAAAAACGTTTTCTAAATTCTTCAGATGGTCTTCAAATGTCTCCCCCAAGACGATTATGTCGTCTAGATAAACTAGGCATGTTTTCCAAGATAACCCTCTCAACACATTTTCCATAAGCCTCTCAAATGTCGCAGGAGCGTTACAAAGTCCAAATGGCATAACGTTGAATTGCCATAATCCAGATCCTGTGGTGAAGGCTGTCTTTTCTTTATCTACCGGGTCCATTTCTACCTGCCAGTATCCAGACTTCAAATCCAAAGTAGAAAATAATTTACTTCCAGCCAATGTGTCTAATGTGTCATCGATCCGAGGCAGAGGATAACTATCTTTCTTGGTAACGTTGTTCAGCAAACGGTAATCCACACAGAACCTCGTTGTTCCGTCTTTCTTCTTAACCAGGACCACCGGAGAGACCCATGGGCTCGTAGAAGGTTCTATCACCCCGTCTTTCTTCATTTCCTGAACAATCGTTTCAGCTTCCTCTCTTTTCGCCTGTGGTAATCGTCGAGCTGTTTGACGAATTGGCTTAGCATTACCAGTATCAATTTTATGCTTAACAACGGTAGTTCTTCCCGTCTTTCCTCCTTTCGGTACGAAAATATCACGATACTGCCGAAGAAATTCCCTTAATTTCCTTTTCTCAATCTGATTCAGAGACTGTCCAGCAACCGCAACCATTTGATCAAATTTATCGTTGGAATTATCAGACGTTGTCGTCTGACGGATTATGGATGTGACAGGTACACAAGTTCCTACTTTTGTCTCTTTCTTGATGGTCACTGGGTAGTCATTGACATTAATAAGTCTCACAGGAATTTCTTTAGCCGAAGTCACTAATTCTTTTCCAATTATGATTCCACGGCCAACTTCGTCGTCATGATTCCAAGGCTCCATCATAACAGGTGTTCCTTCGTCCACAATTCCCTGTAGCCGCGCTACTATTATCGTTTCACTTCTCGCAGGCACGACTGTATCTTCTTTAACGGCTGCTTGCATAGTGTTGTCATCATGTGGATGGAGAAATACCTCCTCGTTACCCACTTTGATTACCTTATTCTTAAAATCCAATTGGAATCCATGTGTATTCATTACGTCCATTCCTAATATAACATCCTCTTCGATGTCAGCAACTATAACAGTATGGACGAACTTTTCTGTTCCAATTCCTAATTGTACCTGGATTTCTCCATGAATGTTGGCATTTTCACCTGTAGCGGTCCGAAGTCGCAACCTCGTTGGTAACAGTTTCTTACGGCTGTTTATAACTGTCGGGCGTATAATGGTTCTGGTCGCTCCAGTATCCACCAACAATGTATGCTTTTTACCATTTATTTCTCCATCTACATATACACTATCTTCACGACATTTCAAAGAAGCTATCAGTATGAGAGGGTCTTTGGAAAAGTTCTGGGTCGAAGCTGCCCCCCTAAGGCCGACCCGTTCTAGTTTTCCTGATGGTGAGTTTCTTGATTTGCGTCGTACCTAGGATGCTTACAAGAACTTCGTACGTGTCCTATTTCGCCACAATTCCAGCATCTTATGGTCTTCGGTTTCTTGTATGTCATGCTTTTCATCATATTAACGAGCTGGTCAAGTTTACCTTCATCTTCTTCCTCTTTTACAGTCCTAACTTTACTGTAACCGCCAGAGGCCTGCGTAGCTGACTCGTATTCGAGGGCGGCGGATAAG